AGATGTTTGGGGTTCTCCGTGGAAGGAACGCATTTGTTAAATAGTGACCCCAGTAAGGCCCACATCAATGAGAATAATAAGTTATATTCGTCAAGGAACCACAGAATTTGGCAGTGGAAGATTAGCAAGTTAGGGCAAGAAAGCGGGTGAGGAATAGAGTCCACCCCATATCTTGTGGTTTTAGCAGGAAATGTACGAGACTAAACTAACACCATAAGGCGTGAAAAGTGTAAGAAGTGACCCCCGTCACTCCTATGGGGTAAGTGGGGATTTTCAGGGCCGTCTATGTTGAGATAAACTTGATGCTCTGAAAAAATGTAAATAAAATATGAGTTAAGAGCAACACTATTCTAATGTGTGCCTGAGATTTAATTTCAATCCTCTATTTGTTAGCATTTTAATCCTAGGCGTGTTATTTGAATGTGTCTCAAATTCCCACTCAAAACAATGTCTGCTAGCTGGGCGTGGCGGTGCACCCAGGTAACAAACACTCCTGAAGGGTGAGGCCAGAGAACCGCAGTTTAAGCCCAGCCTGGTGACATCTCATCTCATAATCGATCCCTCACCCATCAGTCCACCCGTCAGGGCTGGGGACGTAGCTCTGCACGCAGGCCGCGAGTCCAGGCCCAGGTCGCGCACACAGTGCTGTCGCACCGAGCTGAGGCCCGGGGCACATGGTGGCAGAGTAGGACCTGGAGGCTGCGCCAGGACCCAGGTCAGCCCCGCTGTGCTGTCCACAGCCCCGAGCACCAAGGCGCCCCTCCCAGAGCCGGCCCGGGCGGCCTCCCCTCCTTTTCTCTCGTGTTGTGGATCGAAGACACAGGCGTGCTGCTCGGTATAAGGGCATTTAAGGATGGAAGTTTTTGCTGACTGATTTCTGGCTGGATATACAGTTCTAGGCCGATATCAACCAAAATCCTGAGAGCAGGACACGGACTCAGTCCGGGGTCAGCCCGTAACGCTTGCGGCACCCTGGCTCGCTGCTGCCCCCTAGCGGGAGGACGAGCAAGCGGCCCGGGAGTCCCCCCAGGGACCAATGGTGGAGGAAGCCCAGGGCCGGCCGGGCCCCTGTCTTCTAATCCCCGGCTGGGCAGCGTGATTCCACCAATAGTTTCGGGACATATATTTCGTATATGTATTCGATGGCAGCAGTTAAAATATACACTTGTGCCGGGCGTGGTGGCGCACCACCAGTAATCCCAGCACTCGGGAGGCTGAGGCAGGAAGATCGCTGTGAGTTTAAGATCAGCCTGGGCTACATAGTGAGTTCCAGGTCAGTCTCAGCTACATAGTGAGACCCTGTCTCACAAAAATATAACAAACTATATATACAGTTTGTTTATTTGTCATATATATATATATACACACACACACTTGTAAAAGTCACTTCGAAGTCCAACAATGTGTAAACTAAAATGATTCATCATGATTTGTGTTCATTTTACAAAATTTTGCGTTAATCAGTTAGAAAGGGTTCATCACATAAAAACATACCTTCATGTCCCCTTTGGTAGAACAACTGCCCGTCTTGGGATTTCTCGTAGGGATATTCACTGAGAAATGTGAGTCCGTGATCTCGGTGAAAGATTGTGAACAGCAGCAGGAGGAAGTGAGAGGAGACCCAGGCTGGGGCAACACCAGTGAAATAACTAAGAAATCTGTGCCAGTCACGTTGACCCGGCCCCGGCGGAGCGCAGATCCGGAAGCCCACAGCGGTTCCCAGACGCGGTGCTGCAGTCTTCCTTTAGAGCTGATTTCTGGGTCCCCCTGTCCTGAACAAAGAATTGAATGAAACAAGCATAAAGGCTGGCAAAGTTTCACATTTATTTTAGAAAAAGGGGTGGTCAGGGGAAAACATGTTCTGTAGAGAGTTTGGGCTTTGTAAAAAGGGAGGGAACAGTAAATATAAATGCACCGAGCGTAGGGCGGGCCCTGGTGAAGAGGGGTGACGGGGCAGGGAGCTCTTCCCGGAGACTGTCTCGCGGCCACGTTTTCCACGCTCGCACCACGTCCTGCCAAAGACCTGCTGAGTTCCCGGACAGGTGCACCTGCAGGCCGCTCAGAGCTGTTCTGCGCAAGAGTTCCGCAAACCTCTGTCCTTCCCCAGCCAGTGTTAGCCACGCCCTACCCTCCTATCTCACCACCTGAGCGCTGTACCCAGAAACAATCAGTAGTGATAGTTTCAACTCTTCGGGTATTTCTAGTAGGAAACCAAGCCGATTTTCGATTGGGTAGTTTAGGATAAGGGAGTTTTGGGTAGAACAGCCGTCTCCCTTATTTGCATGAAGGAGAAGCCAGTCTAGAAGTTCCGGATAGAAAACACTGCCTTTATTATCCAAGCTCATGACCTCGGAGTCTGCTCACAGCTCAGTCTCGCCCTGGTCTTGTAGACAGCTAAGTTAGTCAGAAATATCACAGGCAGTTTAGACAGGGCTGGGCCCTTAAGGGAGTCCATGCAGAAGACAAGTGAGGCCCAGGCCGAGGCTGTGCTTCAATAAAAAGAACTCAGTGGCACCAAGCCACAAGGTCCCGATTGGATCCCCAGTACCAAAAGGAAAAGAGAAAGGTTTACACCCACAGGCTTCCCTACTGAGGAGCAGCAGGGATTTGTATTCTAAATAGACATCTCCAGGGTGGGGAACCTTAACCCTTCCTTCCCAGAAAGGTCCCTGACCCATCCCTTCTTCCAGAATCCTTGTGTTCAGTCTGGGCGAGCTTGCTCGTGACTTGCTTTCCCATTTAAGCGACTCTACTTGCTGTAATCTTATTGCTGGATCCAGTTTTGCCCCACCTCATGCCCATGGTGTGACTCTTCTTTGGTTCAACATTACTTGACTGTACTTTGTAGCTGACTATAATTTTGTCCCACCTTGTGCTTGCCTCACCTCGTTGCTTTGCTCCATAAAAATCCCCTAAGAAGTGGGGTCTCCAGCCACCCACCTAGGACAGCTCCACTTAGGACAACTCTGTTTCCTTTCTTAGGCAGAATCTTTCTCTCACTCAATAAATTCTTCCTACTCTGAACCTCCATTGTTCCTAGAATTCATTCTTCAGTTTTAGAGGACATGAACTCACGTGTCGGAGAGCTTGCAGGTTTGGGGTTCCAATATTTTCCCTATATCACTGGGATCTTATAATCAACAGGTCATGCCTACTTCCCCAGCCAGTTTCACCAGCCCTAGTCTCCTATCTCATTATCAATAGATGGTCTTCATCAGCATGGCTATGATTTCTTCAGTAAAGATGATACTTACACAAAACGTGTGTTCTGTGAAATATGGAGCCTTTATTAGTAAAATTAATACAATCCATTGAATGTATATCTGATATGGTGTAAGGCAAAAGTAGATAACCAGGGCCAAAGGTGCAAGAACCAAAAAAAAAGGGTAACTAAGCAGCATGATATAATACTGACTTAATACACATATGTTCATACCTAAGTGTTTATTGTACATATCACAATAATGGTTTATTTTTTAAACTAGTTCTGATTTTTTTGGCATTGAGCAAAAAATAACTTTATACTTAGAATAATTAACTGTAGATTAATAAATGACAACTCATGAATCATATTTATAACGCAACATGCCCACTTTAAAAATCAAGAATGTGAAACAACAGAAATTTAAACGTGGAGTCCAAGCTTTTATTTTTCAGGTAAGCTGCAGGGCAGAGATGGCTTTCTATTGGCAAGTCCCTCAGCGTACCGACCTGGTCCTCTACAGCCTGTTTGAGTTTGTGTTTCTCACTCCAAATAATTAAGCAGATGTTACACGTGCTTAAATGATCTGTCCATATAATTGCACCGCAATTTTGTGCAACATCGTAATCTAAGCAATCTGGCCCTTTTTGCCAAGTCTAGAGGGGGCTTTTAGATAACTCTTTAACCCTCCGCATCAGTTGCTCAACTTGTTTGTTTGGTTTCACTTTTACAATATATATTGAAATAAGGCCCGCATAATGCCATCGCTGAAGCTCCTGGGGCAGAGTCCTGCTGCGATTCACAGGCAGCCCTCGCCCCTTTCCTGAGTCTGGCCTCAGCTGGCAGAGCCCTGGGAGGCAGATAGTACAGGGCTCCCTGCTGTTTCAGAGCCCCCGGAAAGTGGAGAAGCCACATTCCATCCATTCCTGGCTGGGAGGGCGCCCGCCGTATCGTCCCAGAATCGCTGCTTCTGGAACCAGCTAGGTACTGCAATCTCACAGCCCGGACCTCCTGGGTCCTGCAGTCGCCCAGAGCTCTCAAGACGCACCCCAACCCTGGGACACTCCCGCAGTGCCTTTCTCTTTGTGAAGATCACAGGCAAGCGCAAGGAACTTAAGTTATATTTTCAGTTGCTTAAGCAAGCGAGTACTCCTACCCCACTGAGCATTCCACAAGTGTCCACCCTTGGAAACTGAAGAAACAGAGAGGGACAAGAATTGTGACACAAAGAATGGGATGTTGTCATTTACAGGAAAATGGGTCCAACCTGAGACCATAACGTTGGGTGAAATAAGTCAGACATCAAGTTTAATAGTGCGTGTTTTCTCGTGCGTAAGAAACTTAAAATGTAAAAACAACCACAAAACAATGGGGAGATGGTAAGAAACAAAAACTGGGTCGAAAGACAAGGAAATAGAGATTCTAAAAATTGTACTTTTAAGAAGAGCTGCAGCTTTAGGATACGAGCCCAGTTTATTTTTTTTCTCTTTCTTCCGGAAACACTGTAAACCTCGCAACTTCTTTTCACCAACAAATGCATTTTCTCTTTCCCTTTTCACTTGCAAATGTCCTCCTTAACCTGTGAATTTCCCCTGTGAATGGACCATTATCCCACCATGGGTGGGCCACCAACGAGACACGACTAAGGCCATAGATTATCAAATTCCTTGCATTCCCACCACCCCAGCCCTGGACAGAGCCCGGTTCCTGACTGTGCTGCTTCTTGTTTCCCTGAGCACCTGCCAGGCTTTGGAATGAATCCTTCATCTGTCTAATAAACCCTTCCTTGGCTCTTACCGGAGCTTCCTGAAAATATTTTTTCTGTGACGGAAGTCCATGAACTCACATCTTTTTCTACCAAAAGGGTGGGTTAAATTCTTTTTTCAGCCTCAGGCACCCCACCTCAGACCGAGACTGTAAGGGAAACAAAAAAGCAGAATTTTTGAAGAAGGGAAAAGGGATTAGCGGGAAATGAAAGGTAAGGCAGAGGGAGTAAAACAATGAAAATGATCAAATGATTATGCATTGCAAAAAATGATTTAAAAAGTATTATGACAAAAAATTATGATTTCCTGTAACTTACAGAAGGCCTTAATATTTACAAAGATAGCCACTAACTCCCACTGAGGGGAGAATCAATAGAACTTTAAATAATTTGGCAATTACTTGAGATCAAATAATTTGTTTTCCTGGGAAAACATAAACACAGGCAACTACTTGCACCAAATCTATTTAAAATCCTGTCTAACTTCACTGGCTGTGGCAAAAATATAAAGCATTTTGAAAAATATGATTCCTAAATTTAAGGGTTCATATTTCAATATTAAACAAGGTTTACATTAGCTGGATAGAGCTTTGTTACAGAGATGTCCAGGGTTAGTTAGTAGGCACTTGCTTCACTGTTCTTATTGGAGGCCCCAAAATGTATGTAAGAGTATTAAGCATTGAAATAATTACTTGCAGTCCTTAAGTCCTCAAAAATTATCCCTAAACATGTAGGTATTTAGACTAAAAGTACAAGCTGATTTTACGGTTGTCTTTTTCCTTGACGTACGCTGGCATTGTGAATGCTGGTTAGGGAGACGGTGGGGAGGGGCTGCATATTCTCGAAGTAATTTTTTTAAAAGGGAATTGTTATGGAATGGATAATTTTTGACCCAGTAGAGTAGGGCCCGGAGGATATGGCTGGGAGTGGGCGTGGCCTGTTGCTCACAGGATCCCGGAGCCAAATGCAGAACAGTTCCGAAAGTTCTGGAGAGTTCTCTAGAGAATCCAACAAGTTCTTAGTGGGACGCCTGGACCTGACCTGGCCTGGGCGTGGGGTCCCAGCGCCTCTCAGAACCCGCACTTTTCGAAGGAGCTCCCTGTAAGCTCCAGCTGAGTGACGTCGGGTGAGTGTCCACTGCAGGTTAGGGCCTCAGAAGACTGCATTCTGAGCTGCAGGCCAACCTGTCAGCAGTCTTTAAAACGTCTGATATTCACAGTTCTCATCACTGCGTGGAAAGGATTACATCCTCAGATTTTGAAATACAGTTTTAAAATTAGTGAGTGAAGTAACAGCAACTGTGCAGACTTGGCTGTTTCTAAGACAATGAAAATCATAGAACCTACCATAACCTCCTATAATGAGTCCTTCATCTGTCTAATAAACCCTTCCTTGGCTCTTACCGAAGCTTCCTGAAAATATTTTTATTTATTTTTTTAGTAGTAGTAGTACTGAGGATTGAACTCAGGACCTTGCCCTTTGGAGGCAGGCACTGGAACCACTAAGCTAAATCCCCGGCCCTACCTCAAAATTATTTTAAACAGTACAAACGAACAAATACATAAGCTTAAACTTACCTTCCCTCAATTTTATGTATATATAATATATATATTATATATATGCAAAATATATAGCTATAATTTTTATACATATAAAATAATGTCCAGGTTTATATTAAACTTACTCCCTCAATTTTATGTATATATAATATATATATTATATATATGCAAAATATATAGCTATAATTTTTATACATATAAAATAATGTCCAGGTTTATTTAGGGAATACATATCCTGCCAATTATGTATACACTTCAACATCTTTCTTTCCTAGTGGTAGAAATTATAGAGGAGATATCTACAAGTCTTCCAGTTAATGTGCATTATTTCAAATGATATTATGGTTTAGTTTACTACCAATTAATAAAAAAGTTGCCATATTCCATAACAACCTAAAGTTCCTCTGCCTCTTAAATTCAACAGCTTTGTTGTGAAGCTATCGAGAGCGTGGTAGAAATCAGCGCCTCCTCTCCGTCTCCAGAGCAGAAAAGCTGTCTGCAGAGTGAGGTCAAGTGGAGGACGCTTCCGGAGAATGAGGTCTGAGGCCTGGCCCTGTTACTCTGAGAGGTTCTAAGGTGGCCTCGTGTCCACCCAGAGGGCCTGCGCCCCTCAGTAAACAGGAACCTTCCACCCCAAAAGTCCAACTGAGGGTTCTTGTGTTATTTACAGCTTCTGTATAACTTGGCTTCTATTCCCCTCTGGATTTAAAACTTTAATTTGAGAAAGTTATGAGGGGAATTAAGAATTAACCTTCAAATTTCTATACTAAGGTGTTTTATTTCACTTTTAAATCCTTTTGTAACTCAGTGACTCATGGTCCCAAAGATATGCTTTAACTGGGAAAAAGGAGCAATCTATTTTAGTCTAGACTTTCTCAAATATACTCCTAATAGCCAAATTTTAACCTATAGCCACTCAAATATTAAGTGTCTAAGATTTTAATTTTTAGATAATGAGAGAACCATGTGGTTCTGAAATGGTTTTAAGAATTCAGGTCCTCTACACGTAATACTGAGATGGGGTACCTAGGACGGAGGTGGTGAACCTGTGGCACATATGCCCCCCCCTGCCACGCAGGACGCTCTCTGTTGCTCCCCCACATCATCCCAGCAGCTGAGCTCTGGATGATACACACACAGGCCATGCGCATGCTCCGAAGGGGCAATGATGTCACAGCAGAAAGGAGTGTGGTGTGATGAAGTCACAGTGGATAGGGCGATGACATCACGAGCCGCGACACGTTAGATTTCACTTGCCAGAACTTTCCAATGGCGGATCGGTGCACTTCCAAGGATAGATTTTGTTCTCTTTTTCTTGGCTGGCTGTAAGTTTTAATACATTCATTTTTATTAAAGCAAAATTTTAGGTTTTTGTTTTCTTACAAAAAAATTAAATTTGTCAGATTTAACAAAGAGACATTCTAATTAAGAGTCGGAGACTCTATTAATGTGGTGCTTTCCCCCGGCATGTTTGAATCTGCAGCATCATAGGCAGTTGTTTGTGAAGAGTTTATGAAAACAAGAGCAAGGAGATATGTTTGCTTGGACTGGCTGTGATGCTAGGAGAAGCCCCGCGAGGTAGGAAATGCACTGAAAAAGTGAGGCCTTTCTCGGAGCAGGCCAAAGGCTGGCGTTCCGGGGAACATCGCCCCTTATGCTGGTGTCAGCAAAGGACGGTGGTGGCGCTTCACAGGATTGCAGTTTGGGCACTCGGTCTCTGAAAGGTTCGCCGTCACCGATCTAGGAGGTATCAGGAACGAGCCCCATAGGAGCCTTCTAGGGTGCGTCCTACTGAGGTTCTGACTCGAGGAAGCCAGTTTATGTTGGCAAAGTTGATGATCCCTTCATGCTGGCTCTAATGCCCCTCGCCCCTCCCAGCCCTGCAGGCCTCATTCTTCCGCAGCCTCCTTCCGCTCTGTGGTCAGTCCCTGCATACGGCCAGTCTTCTGCATCCTCCCAGTGTGCCTGTGTCTTTCTTTCTTTAATAATATTTGCTGAGCAGACAGCCATGCCCGCTGTCCCTACCACTTTAGGTATCTCAGCTGAGGAAGCTCTGTTTCTAAGGCGTTCTGGCTTGAGTTACCTGCTTGCCTTATACCTCACAATCAGCTCATTAGTAAATTCTATCAGTTCCAAAGTATGTTCAGAAGCCGAACCACTTTCCTTTCCTTTCAGCTTTGTCTGTCTCTAGTCCAGGCACGCATCGTCTTGCTCCAGAATTACCTTTCCAGTTGCCTGACAGATCTCCAATGTTAGTCATTCTCCCCTCTCTGTGCCCTCCAGTCTGTGCTCAGTGCAGTCCGAGGGTCCCTTCATATTACACCCTCCTCAGCTTAAAACACAATCGCCTTTGTTCTCATCAGAGCAGAAGCCTCCTCTGCCCCGCCTCACTACCTCTCAGTTCTCCTTTTCTCTCCCACCCCGTGATGGCCCCTGTTCTTCCTTTATCCCACAAAACTCCACTGGTGCCTCAGAACCCGTGATGTCCCTGAAATGCTACTTTCCCGGGAGTCCAGGTGGAGCTGGACGGATGGCTTATTTCCTTCATCTCTCTTGGGTCTTGGTTTAATTTTCACCTTCGCAGGGAGATCATTACTACCTACAGATGACAGCTTTTATCACCTTGATAAACCACTGTCTCTTCTTGGCCTTCTCTCTGAAATGTGCTTAATACAGTCTGTTTTATGTATTTTATTTGTCTCTGGCCTTTCCTGAGCATATGAGCTTGCTTAGTTCATTTGTCACTGGTATTCATGGTTGAATTCTCAGTAACTACAGCAGGTGCTAAATAAACAGTTCTTAAATAAATTATTAATCTTTCTCAGTGACTATGCTTGTGCTTCCATGAAATTTTAAATACGTATACAGGGAAAGATGTACAACTGTTTTTTAAGCATCACAATTGGAGAGCATCAGGCGGGCTCTGGCGCCCAAGATCTTGTGTGCGCTTTTTGGCTTCGTCGTGCACAAGCTGCCTGACCATGGAGGTGATGCTGCATCCACCTCCCCGAGTGGTCACACTGTGTCAGCAGAGACCGGATCAGAACCAGCTCTAGGATGGTTCCTAGAGTTCCCGGGCAGGGTGAGCAGAGGCTACTCCTGCCCATGGTTCCCCTGGGGGCGTAGGGATGCACCCTGCATCCTGTCTGCTCTGTCTCACTGGTCTTCCTGCCCTGGAGAAAGCGATGGGCGCGTCAGGGTCTCCTCTGATGCTATGTCCGGCCAAGGTGGCCTGGGCGCACCTCAGTTTATCTGTAATTGCTCACACTCACTGCTACTTAGTCAGAATGGAAGTGAAATCACCACCCTTTCTCACGAGAACAGTGGGAGCTTTAGGACCATAAAGAAGTGCTGGATGTCCTCTGGGAACCCAGGCCCATCCTGAGGAAGTGGGGATCCCTGCTGTGGGGGGGTCCTGCTCTGCTCGGTGGAACTCTGGGGTCCAGGTCTGCAGTTTCCCTGTGGTGTGCGGTGTGTGCGGGCCTGCGAGTCGGTGGAGTCAGCTCTGAACGTCTCCAGTTTTTCCAATTGCAGAGCTCAGAAGTTCCAAGGTCTCTGTCGCTGTGGTCAGTTTAGGTGCCTTGAACGCTCTGGAAGTGACTTCTGCCTCAGAAAGTGACACGTAATTGTGCCTGTTGAGTCAACCTGGAAGCCCTCTCCTAAGTTACGACAAGTAGAAAACTTTTACACTAACTCTCCATGTAGGAACTGCTCTTGCACAGGGCTCTTTTGATCTACGTGCATTCTACTGTGAAGGAAAAGGAAACGGTGAGAGAGGGAAAGACAAACTCAGACAGAACGGCAACTTTCAAAAGGACTCGGTCACATTTTAGAAATTGGGGGAGAGGGGAAAATTAAAGCAAACTCTCCTTCACAGATACTTCTTTCTGTAGGATTGGTAGAATCTGTAAATACATTTACATAGAAATCAAATTATCTATTACTGTTTGTGGAAGCTTTTGCAAGGCAATATGTGGTTAAGTAATCAAAGAACTAGAGATGAGTTAGATCAGACTCTGGCTTGTTTCCCAGAAAATACAATATTCTATGAAGGAAAGCAGTGTAATCGGTTTCTTATGCTACCTACTCAGGTGTCCCATGGTTAGTGGAAATTTAAACCAGATATTCAAAAAGACTACTTAAAATGTAAAGAAATAAGACCAAATACCAGTTATAGTTGAATAGTACTCTTGTGCCTGAATATGAATTCTGAATGCATGAAATATATAATCCTCACAGAGCTAGGAGAAATAAATTGAAAATAATGTCTGTGGGTTTATAGAATTAGAACATATTCAAAAGTTAAAAAGACACCCAATTTTGTCTCCCTGCATAACATAATGGAGTAATCCATTGATTTAAAGGCTAAACCATATTAAGGAAATGCTAGTCACTGTGGTAGGTATAGAAATGTGCTTCATAGATTTTGAATGAATACGTGAATTAGCCGTAAACCAAGCCACAAAACTCAGATACAACCAAAAATGTCTGAAGCTGTGCTTGCTTCAGCAGCACATATACTAAAAATGTCTGAAATTAAGCAATAGGGGAACGAGGCCCATATATTCAAATCGTTAACTGGAATGTGTAATCTTCTACCTGTGAAATTGTTTTAAAAGGCTGCATAATTGTGCCTGGGATTTAGATCTGTGCTTCCACTGCCTGCCTCACAAGCACAAGGAACCGAGTTCAATCCCTGGTACCGGCCAAAAAAAAAAAAAAAAAAAGATACATAATTTAGGTGGTCATGGGAGAAGTTGTTGTCAGAAGAATTAAGATAATGTACTCGCACACCTGATCATTGCTATCACTGTTGATTCGGACTCTTTGGCCCATAGTGTAGGTTCTTAATGAGTAAACTAGGGTTCTCTTGGGCTGCGTGGAGCATCTTTGGTTTCAAGACTGTGGCAACACTGCCTGTACTTAGTGGCCGAGGGCCAGGAACCGTAGCATCCACAATAAAAGGGTGACTTGGTGTGAGCACAAATTTCATACATGACTCTGAAACATTTTGCTTAATATTCATATACTGTACTTGAAGCGATATAATTATTAGAATCGCATTCTGTTTTACATGTAAAATTATTTTGTGTTTTTTTAAATATTCTAGCTTTCCCAGGCACACAAATGTTGTGCTAATTGAACTATACATTTGTTTATGTCTTCATTTGTTTGTTTTTGTGATCTCCAAACACTACAAGGTCACCGCTGTCCCTCACTGGAATGGGCTTACTGGTGTCTTTTCTGGTCCCTTCCCTCAGAACAGCATTTTCTGTGAGCATGAAGCAAACAAAACTGAAGCAGTAGAACATTTTTTTAAGGCCTGGAGAAAAGCTGCTATCAAGTGGCCCTCCCAGGCCTCCTTTCCCTGGTTTTGCTAAATCCTGCAAGGACAAAGGGACCACATAGGAAGAAGTCATCACAAACCCTATCCTTGCTGTCTGAGCCTAAGAGGAAGAAAAAGATTTAGAGAGTGGAGAATCTAAGCAAACCAGAGCGCACAGCTCCTTAGTTTCTCCCACGAAGGCTTTTCCCACACCGTAGCCCATTCTGTGCAAGTGTCAGCGGGAGAAATGTGGCCTCGAGCTGCGCCTCGCTCCTCCTGCTCTGTGAAAGTTGGAGAGAGGGAGAAGAGTGCAGCAGCTGCACCCCGACGATCATCACATTTACTGCTACTGTGTTAGAATGGAACATTTCCGTGTTTTCACAGGAACCTACCACGTTTCGCTCTTGTATTTATTTTTATTAGTACATTTTACATATGCACAGTGGCGACATTCATCACAGAGAACGTGTACCTGGGCTGATATAGCTTCCTTCTGTTTTCCCATTTGTTTCCCCTCCCTCCAACCCTTCTTCTCCTCTTTATTGACAAAGCTTGGTTTCCCCTTTCCCCTCCTATTCTTTCTTTTTTCTCATCCCTTCCTTCCTTTCCCTCACTATATGTCAGAGTATTGAAAATATTATATATATGGGAACACTTGGAAAATTTCCACCAAAAATTTTCTGGAGATCGGTGCCCGGTAGTCATTTCTTTTATTTTCTATTTTCCCCACTTTTTATCTGTTCAGAGAGCTCTGAACTGATTTTCAGTGAAGGGTGATGCGATCTCCCCCCGCCTCTACCCTCCCGTCCCCCGCTCTGATGTATACCCTGGGATGGCAGGTCTTGAATGACTGGTACACATCACACACTGTGTCAGAGAGCTCTCCACAGCCTCACCACCCTGAGTGTGGTTCATGGAGACCCCTGCATGGGCTTCACCTGTTAGGAAAAGTATTAAGAAGCTCTAAGAGCCCAACCCCTAGCAGAGTCAGCTAACCATGACAGAGCAAAAGGTCGCCTTAAACATTCCTGAGAGGCAGGAACCAAGATAAACGTCTGGTGCGGAACAGACCCTACCCCTTTGAACAATCCATGGTCCCACTTCCCCGAAGTCCCCACCCTTTGTAACTGAATGTTCCCGTAATTGACCCCTTTCTCGGAATTCCCCCTACCCTATAGCTTGTGGTTTTTTCCGTTAAAAACTGTGTCTCTACCCTGCTTCGGGGCTCAACTCCTCTGCCCCTGCAAGGGTTATGAGCTGAGCCCCAGCACCCTGGAATAAAGACCTCTTGTGTTTTGCATCAAGGATCGTCTCTCCTCTCCGGGGTGTTTATGGTGCATCACGGCGTCCCTGACTCAGCGTGGTGGGATTCCTCCCTGGGAATTCGGGGCTCCTCCTCTGCCCCTGCGAGGGTTATGAGCTGAGCCCCAGCACCCTGGAATAAAGACCTCTTGTGTTTTGCATCAAGGATCGTCTCTCCTCTCCGGGGTGTTTATGGTGCATCACGGCGTCCCTGACTCAGCGTGGTGGGATTCCTCCCTGGGAGGATGTTACACACCTACAGTGCGAAATGCAGACTTTCAGGCCCCAGGACCAGAATCTGCACTTTAATTCAAGAAGCAAAGATTGAGACCAAGAGTGAACATGTTTTCTGTGAACAGACTAATGTAAATATTGTAGACTTTGAACACCTTTCAATCTTTGTTTCCACTACACCCTTGGGGCTGCTGTACAAAAGCAATGATAGATAAGATGAAGCAAATGGATGCGTCTGTGTTTCAATAATACTTTATCTATGAACAGAGTGATTAATTTTCATATTACCCAAAATGCTATTCTTTCCATTCCTTTGCACTGTTTAAAGCTCTTGGCTCCTCTTAGCTCCCAAGGGCTGCCAGGTTCAGTTGTGCCGTGCTTTGAGGACCCCTGGGCTACAGTACCATAATCCTCACAGCGTAATG